ATGACCGCTCCCTGGCGGCGCCTCCGGAGTCGGTTTGGGAATACTGGGCCGGGCTCCTCGTGTGCGCCTTCTGGATCCCGGACTCGCGCGGGATGCCCCACGTCATCCGAATCGGTAAGGGCTCCCTGGAGCCGGGGGTCTCCGTGCGCCCGGGCAGGGGAGGGAACGAGGGGCCTCTGAACGCGACCCTAAGAGATTTTCCAACCTCTCTCCGGGGTGCCGGGGCCAGGTGACCACCAGGAGCTCGATCCATTAAGGACAAAGTTCCAAAGCCGGGGTCACGGGCCTTACTTATTGGCGAGGAGGCAGCCAGCCGGGCTGCGGCGGGCGAGGGGCCCTTGGCGCGCTCCTGGGAGGCCAGACCTGGCGGAGTGTAGCGAAGTGTTCCGGTCCCAGCCCGAGTCGCGGGCGCATTCCCCGGAGACTGCCAGCAGGACCGGCCGCAGACCGAGTTCTGGGACCTGGCTTCTCCGCGAAGCGGGAACCCTGGGGAAGGCGCCAACTTCTCTTCCTTCCCTGCTCCCCGCGGGCCCCTTGCCCCGACCTGAGGCATGGCTGGAGCGGCCGCGGCGGGGACGCAGAGTCCGGCTTCGCATTACGAGGGCAGTCGGTCTCCTCTCCTGGTGGCCGCTCTCGGCCTCGGTGGCCCCGGTTCAGCCCCGTGGCTCGGGGTAGGGGAGGGGCGGCCCTCGTTGGTCGCTCCAGCCGTCCGTCGCGGCCGAGGCCTCTCTCCCGCCTGGGGCTGCGCAGGCGGGGGGAAGGGAGCAACGGAGCCTCCCCAGCGCAGCCAGGGAAGGCCACGGGAGGCATGCGAGTGGTTTTTAAAGTTATCCGAAATCCCTCCGCAGCTGGCGGCGGCTGGCGGGGCCGCGCGCAGCTTTCTGGAGCTCTGGCGTCTCCGCGTCTATACTCGCCAGAGACTCTTACTACGGGCTTTAACTTTGTTGTGGCCGCCCCAGGCACCGTGTAGGCAGCGCTATCGGCTGTGCGGCGGGCCCTGAGTGTCCCAGGCCCGAGACCGCCACGGCTGGGCCCGGCCTGGCCACGCGGGAGCCTCCGCCACGCAGGCCCCGTGCACGCCGCCAGGCCGGAGACCTGGGCCGCCTGGGTTCGCTAGGCGCCACCACCAGCATCTGGCACAAGGAGGCCAGAGCTCTGCTGAGCCGGGACAGCCTTCCTCCCCTGTGGCTCTAATCCAGGCGCGGACTCTGGGATGCCAGCGGCGTAGAGGGGGTGCAGGGAACCAATATCGAGCTTGGTTTCCTCACTTGAGGTTTTCCTAGGAAGCAGGCAGAAATCCTGAGGGTGCCTCTCTCCTCCCTGGCTCTCTCCTGGATCCCAGATCCTCTTGAACTGGACGTCTGGACCAGGAGTAGAGTACAGCCCCCAGCACTGCCCATGCTGGGGTCTTTCTGTCCATGCCCAGGACCCTGGCAGGCAGACATTTGAGGCAGAGGAATCCAGGCACCGGACTCTGGGGACAACCCTCTCGGCCAGGCTTAACCCTTTGCAGCCCAGGCTGCTCCTGGCAAACCGAAAATGTCTTTTGTATTTCTGCGCCTTTTCCTGCCCCAGCACTGAGTCTGGTCACCATTCCAGGAGCAGGCAGCCCCTAACTAGTGGGCCAGCCCTTCCTTTATTCCCTCCTTCCTTCCCTCTGTTTTTGTTATTTTCGTTTGTTTGGGTTTTTTGTGGGCCTACATGGTAGGGCACCCTTGGAAGAAAAGAAGGGGGACTCAAAAGGTGCTATACACCCAGTCCACGCATTGCAGTTTCCTCTTCTGTGGTCCTTCCTCTGCAGGGGTGTGATGCCTGCACTCCCAACCCAGCATCCGGGATGGAGGTCTTACGGGGGCTCAGGAAGACAGGAACAGGTGAGGGAAGCCCCAAAAGGATGAGCTGAGGAGGGCAGAAAGATGTATCCTCACCTGCTCCCTCTTGCTGTGAAATGAAATTGACTTGCACTGGGGGACTCCTCACTGCCCTGAGGGGAAGCCCCAAGCCTGCCCGCCCTTTCCTGGGTTCAGTGTGTAATAATGCAATTAAGGATGGCAAAGCCCTCCTCTCTTCTAATCTTCTTCATATTAAGCCCCAGGATTAATTAGCGTGTCGGCCCAAGCCATTTATATCCGAGAGCCCTGCCCTATTTGATTCCCAGCCGGAGGACTAGGGTGCTGTGCCGATGCCAAATGTGACCGCCGGAGCTGTGCCAGCTTGGACGGAGGATGGGAAGGCTCTGAGGCCTCTGGGCTTCTCTGGAGCTTCCTGGAGAGCTGAACTTCCATCCTTCTAGCTCAGGCTGGAGCCTCAGCTGGGGCCAGGGGCTACAGTGGATGTGGCACAGAGAGAGAGACAGAGAATCTCATGCTGAGACACAAACACAGCACCTTGGCTGGGCCCGATGCCATCTCCCTTTTCTCCTCTCTCCCCACCCCTGGGATCTCAGGGCTCTGGCTGAGGAATCGAGGGCTGTAGGAATTGAGACCCAGGAAATTGAGCTCCGGGATATGCTGGGTGCGTCTGGTTTCCCAGACTGGTGCCTGAGCTGGCTGCGCTGGGAGCCGAATCCTTCTCCAGCAGGCAGGCGTCGCCCAGCACCAGCCTGGGAGAGGGTTTCCCTGCAGGTGTGCAAGGTTCTTTTTGGGCTGGGGAGCAGCATACCCGCCCCTTCTCTTTGTGCCTTTTTTGGGGGCTGAAATTTCCTCTTAGACAAGGAGATGGATAGCTCAGCAGTGTGACAGAGTGTTCAAACAATCCGTCTTGAATAGATGAATTGCGTTGCTCTGTCTTTTTGTAATTGTGTCTATCAGAGGGAGAGGTCAAGGCATTGATTGCTTGGATGGTTTGCAAGTAACAAAGGAGAGTGAGGGAGAGAGCGAGGGAGAGAGAGTAATTGGATTGTAGTCTGCGGGAAAAAAATGATCATTGATTATTTTATATGAATATGTGGAAGATGTATTCTGCGTGTGATTATCAAATGTTGCTCATTGAAGGTTTTCAAGGCATATTGTTCAGCATTTTATTATTATTATTATCATCGTTATTATTGTTCAGATGGATCCTAGTCATAACTCACAGAAAGCAGCTTAATGCATGGGTCCTCCCAGCCAAATGTGGTTCAGTGGACTCATGTGGGAACCTGGAATTCCTGGTTATGTGACCTGAAGCTGAAGTGGAGGGGCCCTGGGCTGGGAGCCAGGAGGCCTGGGTTTTTTGCTTTGCCTTCCACCAGTTTTCTGGGCCAACTTGGTCAAATCGCACTCTCCCATCAACCTCGAGCCTCAGTTTCTCCATCTGTAAGCTACTGAGTTGGCCATGATGGTTTGGGATATTCTGTGGTTTCAAAGTTCCCTTTAGGCAGGCTCACGGGGACTATCAACGCCATCATAGGTTTCGTGGCTTGCATTACGTACACACCACAGGATTCAGGGCCAGCCTGGAATTTGAAAAGGGAACCAGACAGTGGTGGTGGCAGCTGGGGAGCTCGAGTGGACGGTGGTGATCTCTAGTCAGCCATGGGGGAGATTTAGAGCCAAATGACTGCAGAGACATAAAGCAGGTGTGTGTGTGTGGGCAGTGGGGAGGTGAGGAGTAGGTGGGAGGGATGGGTTGGCTCAGCACCAGACTCTCGAGCATCTACAGAGCAGAACAGAGTTTCAAGGCTGCCCAGCGGGCGTAGAAGTCTCTCCCTGGGGCTTGAAGTCCCCTCCCCCAGAGTTCCCAAATCAGCCCTGTCCGCATCTCCTCCCATCAGTTCACCCAGACGATCCTGAATGTTCATATCCTGAGTTTGGGAGCCGCTGTGTGTAAAACAATGAGAAATTTCTCGCAGTGACTGGTGATGTGCTGAAACATCGCTGCTGTGGAGGAGCAGACAGGAGCTGAATAAAGATCAATAGGGTTTCCCCCCCTGGAAGTAAATAGCTTCAGACAAGACCTGGGAGTGGCCCGAGGGGCCTTAGAAAGCATCAACTTGAGGAATCTCTGCCTCCACTTTCTAGCCCTGCTGCTCCTGTCAGCACGGGCTCCCCTCCTTCTGGAGCTGGAGTTTAATTTCTTCTCGATGCCTGCCTTGCACTGCGTTAAACGTTAAACTGTCTTTTGACGTCAGGATGATCTGGGGTTTTGCGAGATGGTTAATGCAGGGTGAGCCAGCCCACTGTCCTGACTAGGCCCTTCCAAGGTCACTCGCATCCCCCTGCCACCACCACCAGCACAACAGCTGACTTCAGAAGTCCAGCCGGCTGTGCTCTTTCGAAAGGGCTTTCAGGAGCGGCTTTTCATCCCCACCCTTCAGAAACACAAGGCTGCTTGGCTGCTTTTAGGATCCTTCGTGGGACCTGGGAGCCTCCCTGAGTCCCCGCGTTCCCACAGGCACTATGTGTCCCTGCCCCAGGAAACAGCCCCCTCCGTGGGGGAGGAGGTGCAGATACCCTGTAGATACTAGAACAACCCCTTCGGGGTGGGGGGTGGGCAGTGGTGCACGGCTGCATGCAGGGGGGCTCAGGACTGCTTGGGGTACTCCTTTTGGGGAAGACCTGATTGTGCTTCTACACCTGGGACTATTGCTGACCTGCCGAGGCCGGGCTTTCTCCATGCTGTCGCCGTCAGCTGCCCCTGCCTCTGCCTCCCTCCTCGCTGGCTCAGGACCCTCCAAGGTTCCCTTTGGCTAGGCAGCAGCAGAGAGGAGCTCGGCCTCACCAGTCCTTGCCTGGCAGGCAGAGGGGACTGGAGCTCCAGGAGCAGGGCCCTTTCTCCTAGGCTAGCACCCAGCAGGCCCTAGCTTGTCCTCCCCAGAGGCTGGTGTGATGGGACAGGAGCTTTGGATGGATGGATAGGCCGAGGGAGGGCCTGGTGCAGAGGGCGGGGGCTTGTTGGCTGGAATAGCTCTTCTGGCAGGTGCTGATTCCCCAGCAGCAGCACCAGGGGGCAGTGTGCCTGTGCCGAGGTGGCCGTGCCATCTCTGGCCTGGGACCCCACCTGGGTCTGGAGCAAAGTCAAAATAATAAAATGATACACAACAGCAATACGATGGCCCCGATTTATTGAGCACTTACTAGCTGCCAGGCACTGTTCTTTTCAAACAATGACTCCTCACTTGGGTAGGAAGGGCT